GAACCGCTCACAGAGCGATTTTTATATGGATAATTTGCTTATGCTCACCCTTTCATTTACGGAAACGTGTGCTGATTTTATTCGGATTTAGATCCATTTTTATCTCTTTGTCCTTGTCTACAGTGTGCGAAGAACGCGAGGTAACCTTCTTGACGGTAAGGCTTATGTTAGATGTGTTGTCGAAATATTCATATTCATTGCACATTGGTACGTTACAAGTAAGGCACTGGTCAGTGGCATACTATCGTTGGCAGTTCACAATCTGGAGGGAAAGGTTCAAGGACTCATTGACCGAGTTTGCCAAATAAATTCGCATACTAGTATCAGGGAAAATCTCCATTGTGGAGAGGTTCAGTAACTTGTTTGCTTCATACGAAACGAGCCAATGGTTGCAGTCTCGTCTCGTGAAAATCTCGTACTTGTATGATTGGATTTGTTTACTCGAGTCTGGGCTGTTTGATTTGTGAGTACCGCCGAGATTGCACTGCCCCAAATAAAGTTTCGTGCCGCCAAAGCAAGAATTACGATCTGCAATCTGTTTGTAGTACCTGTAGTACCTGCAAGAATGTGCAGTACATGTATCGTACTTTCTCTGTTGCTGTTTCAGTTGCCGTCATGTTGCTAAAGAAAGGTTCAGTAGAGAGGTTCTGCAAAACGAAAATTCGAACGAAGTTTCGCGACAGTCCTTGAGAAAGTGTGTACGAATTTTTGCACGAACTTTGCGTTCTGCACATTTACGTAGTTTGCGCGGGCCAAGTGCACGTACGCCATGACCCGATCTCACGAAATTTCCTACGACAGTTCATTTCGCGTTCCCTGCAAGTTTCGCGTCCAAAGTTGCGAAAGTTCGTGCGAAGTTTCGCACTTCATGATGTAGAGCGAAAGTTTGTACGCATTTTCGTTTTGCAGAACCTCTCTAGTGACTCATTTGTTTCATACGAGACGAGTCAATGAGTCGGTGTGGCTAAGAATCTTTCACTGTAGAAGAAATCTATTCGTATGTCTATTGGAGAAATAATTGTATTCAATGGTTACTCAATCTGCGGACAGAACTGTTTCGTCCTTTGTGGACTCGTCAGCGCAGCACAGAGGAAATGAGGCCGAACCTGATAGCAATGGAAATAAAAATTTCCAATCAGGCCCGAACGTACCTTGCCAGAGTGCTCAAACTGACAAGTCAGTGAGCTCTGCATAACGCAAACAGCAAAGGCACTACCCCACGCAAGAGTGCTCAACTGCTACAAGAGCAGGAGCGGTTATAAAGTAGGTTCAGACAAACTCACAGAATAAATACCATCGGTCCCTTGGTGTTCGTCCTAAAGAGGTTTGACTGGATATCATTCATTATCACCAAAAGATGTGTAAGATTTTATTATCATGGAGTGCCTTTATCAGTATCAGTACCTCCAACCATAGCCTTGCCCCTTTTATCCTCAGGATCAGTGTACATGTAGTTGTTGGAACGAGGTGTCGGACTCAGCAATGTATTTGTTTACAATTTAATACATGTTTATTGTTCCCCCTTTGCTGCGTTGTTTTAGAAAATCGTGGACCAACAGTTTGAAGTCATTGAACTACTTCCAAAAGTTGTATCGACATCAACAGGATTACGATTTCAGTGCAATATGATGCCGGATGACCTTATCACGACAACCCATGATTATAAACCATTATAAACACAGAATCAACAAAAACATCTGCGACACGCACCTAGCGCATGGCCACATTTCTCAAATAAATCTGATCGAGGGTGGGGACATCTGAAATATCTGAAAGGCAAGACAATTTTATGACGGAGTCATGAAATTCTGTAGCAGCAACATGCACAAAATGACCTCCGTATAAAAAAAGTATCACCACCACTACTCACATGTTTCCCCGCAGAAGAACATGCATTATGCTAGTGCCATTTTCTGCAAGAAAAGGCTTGCACATCAATGCGTATAATACGGTATTGATATGATGCGAAGGCCATCATTTATACAGGGCATTCCATTGATTGGTGACAGAAAAAAAACAAAAGAAATTATAGCAATAAAAACTGCTTTATGGCAGTTTTCTAAAAAAAGGTTATTGTGTTCTAGTCCATGGACCCCGTCTAAAAAGTAAGAAATTAACGAAATGTGATAGCTGAAAATTAAAATTTCACACAAAACCTCACAATAATCACACACAGAATGAAAAGCTGGAAGGCCTTTTCCGCTCGTGATACTCTTTCCCATGCATGCATGTTTAGTGTTGAAAGCAGCATTTCAAGACAAGTGTTGTGAAACTTAAACTCCCTATTATACAAAGCACGAAGTATTGTGATTATTGTCAGGTTTTGTGTGAAATTTTAATTTTCAGCTATCACATTTCGTTAATTTCTTACTTTTTAGACGGGGTCCATGGACTAGAACACAATAACCTTTTTTTAGAAAACTGCCATAAAGCAGTTTTTATTGCTATAATTGTTGTTGCACTCAGTGGTTGCAATGGTTATGGGGAATCTGCACAAATGAATTGTTCCAAAATGCTTGGTCAGAAGTCATTCAGAGAACCATTTGGCCTAAGTTGACCATTTTAGTGGCACCCCGTTACAGGAGAATGTTACTCACCCGTAGTGACGCGCATTGAAGCGCATGTGCCTACACACGGGCATAAGCGCATGTGCTTATAAGTGAACCAAACTGCAGTCCATCGCGCAACACACGGACACCACAAAAACACCATGGTCTCATAGCCATCAGCCCACGGTGCCACACAGTACCAAAGGCTTTAGATAAATCGAAGAAGCAGACTAGGCTGTACTCGCTGCGATGGCGATTGTTATGCAGGGATTGAACAACTCGAAGTAGCTGCCAGGCTGTTGAATCACCTCGACGGAATCCACTGTGATTGATGGAGACACCCAACTCCATCCAAAAAAAGGAACATTTCACGTGCACATCATGTAAACGACCGTAAAGTACGGTTGATGCGGCCGCCCCCTCTTGATGCGGCCGCCCCTCTCTAATTCCCGGCCCTGCCAATTTTCTACTTGTGAAGCGACTTCGGTGTTTACAACGAAATACGATGTTGAACCGACGCATGCACTGCTGTACACAATACTTTCCAATTCAGGATGAAAATGTGCACAATCCTGCACATCGAGTCTGATCCTCTACGTTGTTGTACATCATACTGCACTTGACAGCCTTGATCTAATTCCCGCCCCCCTGCGAAAACCCAGCTGGGAAGCCACATGGCGTAGGGGGCGGATCAATGGTACTTTACGGCACTAAATCCGGTAGAACAGCGTTTGTAAACTTGCCCCAACATGTACCTATACCGGCAGAATGACTCCACTCCAATCTACTCTACTCTACTCTACTCTACTCTACCAGGTAGCTAAAAACGAACGCAGCCCTACAAAATGTAAGCTCAACTATTTTGCATACCGGAAAAGTCATCGCCCGACGATCTCGCGATGACTTTCCCGTACGCGAAATGAATTATAGCGTGTTTGCATGAAGCGTTTATGGCGGGTTGAAATTTCACCCGGATTTCAACCCGCCATAAAAAAATCACAGATTCACTGGCGCTTTACATGACGCTTTGCACTTGAACCAAGTTGGGATTTTCCCGTACGCGGAATGAGATAGGAATGGACCTTCAAGCCTGATTCATACTTCATTTCGCGTACCAGAAATGCGTCGCATCACGATAAAGTTGATCTGAGCTCAACTACTTCGCTTACGGAAAAGTCGTCGCCTGACGATCGCGCAAAAGTTGATCTGAGCTCAATTATTTCGCGTACGGGAAAGTTGTCGTGCGACGATCACGCGATGACTTTCCATAAATGAAACGAAGAAGGGATCGGCTTTTCGGCTTCAACCGCACCAGGGTCCAGGGCTGTGATTAAGCTTACTTCATACTTCATGTCGCGTACGGGGAATACATCACATCACGAAAAAGTTGATCTACAGCTAATTTACGTACGGGAATGTCACCGCCCCACGATCACTTTCCCGTACGTGAATTGAAGTATGGCTGTGTTTACAAGAGGCGTTTCAACCGGGTCAAGTTTCAACCCGCCATGATCACAGAATCACGGGCGCTTTTACATGGCGCATTGCGCCAAGAGCACATAATCCCCCAGAGTGTGCAACGCCTGATCCAGCTCTGCCTAGGGTCTTGGTCGAGCGTAATCGGATCTTTGTGTCATAATACCGTACACATCTGAGGGGAACCCGGGGAGTCACGGGTACTCTCGGATCAAAAACAATGGTGCCCTGCCTCGAGACCGGCCTTGCGCTGGTGTGGAGTGTACGCATGACATCAGAAGATCCGATTCCGCTCGACCAAGACCCTATGCAGAGCTGGATCGGAGTTGCACACTCTGGGGGGTTATGTACTCTTGATTGCGCTCGACCCGAGTTGAAATTTCGCACCGGGTTGATTTTAACCCTCCCCTTGGGGAAAGGTTGATATCGAGAAATTACCATACTTCTATGGATATCTCGCGGTATGTTTGAACAGCATTGCACAGCCCGGGTTGACAATTCTCATGTAAAGTTAAAACGCATCCTATGAATCGGCCTCAACATGAGAATTTTCAACCGCGGTCGAGTTCAGCCCGGGTTGAAAGTCTTTACGGTGAAAAAAGTAGGTGTGTGTTTACATGAAGACAGTTGACCAGGGTCAAATACTGATATGCAGCCATAAGTCCACTTCTAGAGTCCTGTATCGTCACAGGAAGACTTTTGCACGAAACTTGTGCAGTGTCATGCTGTTCGCACCTGACGGCATGACTCAAGATATGCACAGAATTACCGCATTACTATTTCTCGATTTCAATCCCCCCACCCCCGCTGCAAAATTTCAACCTGGGTCAAGTGCAATGCGTCCATGTCAGTACCACCCTGGCATGATTAGAGCCCTCTCTTGATTAGTGCCCTATCTCGAATAGTGCCCCAGTCTCCAAGGCTGCGTTTACACGACGACGCTGGGGGAAAACGCAACAAAATCCTTCCGGATGCATGGTTCATTTCCACGGTACACGGAGCAAAACGTGAACGTTGTGCACCGAAACGGAAGAAAAGCAGATGATAATATTCATGTCATCATAATATCATGATGATCAGATGAAACACACCCTCTACTTTTAACTTGCCTGCCATTACCAGCGGCACAGAGCTGGTGCCATATGGAGGCAGCGGAATGCGTACCACAGCATGCTTGGAGTTGTGTGTTTTTGAACTACGAGATATAGCGGGGCTAGGGATAACTAATTATGTGTTATAGAAGGCAAGAGCACAGCTGGGGAATTTCACATGCTGTTCTACGCCGATGTCCTAATTACTTGAAGTGCGCTATTGCAGCCGAAGAAGTAGATGTTATTGACGATCGCGACCTGTGAGGGGATCAAAATGCAGACAGGCAAAAAGCCATGGAGGATGCAAACGGAGCAAGAGAGAGAGAGAGAGAGAGAGAGAGAGAGAGAGAGAGAGAGAGAGAGAGAGAGAGAGAGAGAGAGAGAGAGAGAGAGAGAGAGAGAGAGAGAGAGAGAGAGAGAGAGAGTGAGTGAGTAAGTTACATTTATAAAGACAGGTAAGTCTAACAAATGAGGACTGAGACCTCTACAACAGGGTTTTTACGCCTGAAAGCAGGTGCATGATTTAACAAGCAGCTTGTCAGTCTAGATTTTATGCGCAGATGGAGAAAAAGCGCAGAATTTTTGTAATGAGATGAAAAGCAGAAATAATAAGAAAAGATGAAATGAAAGCCTGCTCACAACCCCGCCCAGCCTTGCGAACTGGGTATGGTGGATTAAGAACCCGGTTCAACGCTCGAGCAAGCGCTCTCCACTCAGAGAGAGAGAGAGAGAGAGAGAGAGAGAGAGAGAGAGAGAGAGAGAGAGAGAGAGAGAGAGAGAGAGAGAGAGAGAGAGAGAGAGAGAGAGAGAGAGAGAGAGAGAGAGAGAGAGAGAGAGAGAGAGAGAGAGAGAGAGAGAGAGAGAGAGAGAGAGAGAGAGAGAGAGAGAGAGAGAGAGAGAGAGAGAGAGAGAGAGAGAGAGAGAAAGAGAGAGAGAAAGCGAGAGAGAGAGAGAGAGAGAGAGAGACAGAGAGAGAGAGAGAGACAGAGAGAGAGAGGGGGGGGGGGGAGGAGAGAGACAGAGAGTCTCAAACTGTACCAACTTGCACAACAGTGCGGTGAAATGGCACGCTTAATACTCGAGAATCTTTTTCTTCTACTAGTAAAATTGGGACTCTCCAGACACAGGCACAGGTTTGCTCTACAGTCCATTTCAAAACTATAGAATCGTAGGGTTTTTGAAATATTTCAAATTTGGCTGGAACTTTTTGAGAATAGTTTTCGGAATATTGCTCAGGTCCGCTCCACAATTACTCTCATATAGTTTCTAAACGATTGGATAACAGACGCCCAATTTGGAAAAATTTATGCACAAAGTGATCACAGATTTTACGTTGTATAGATGCTGGCATAACGGTTTTTGCCTAGGTAGATCTACGCGTCTATAGTTTTGAAATGGACTGTAGTTCCATTTTGCAGTGCACACACAAAAGTGACTAATCATGACGTAATCGGTTAGTTTTTAATGTCAATACACTGCCTGTAAGCTGCAATCCAAGACAAGAACATGTAAATTGAAAACTGACCGCTCTGATATCGTTGTATAATCTGAAAGACCGATCCAATCTCACAGACCGGAAGACTGATCTAATCTGAAAGGGGAAGCGCATTAATTTTTCAGTTGGGGCTCAAATGAAAGGCAATTTGATATCGGTTTGAAAGGCATATCTCTCGCTTGCATAATAATAATAATAATAATAATAATAATAATAATAATAATATGTAAAAAGGCGACGTGGAGACAATAATCTTAATAATGCAATGAATATAACTAAATGCGCACTCATATCACAACCATGGGGACGAATCATGTACATGTATTCCAGAACGTTTTCTTGTCACAATTATCAATGGAATTCGTGACTAAAGAGAATGATGAAACTACAATAGGATTTATACACTTGGAGTGGAACAGCGAGGATACAAGCATAGTAAGAAAAATAGCACAAACCTAGGAACAATGTGCACAGGTAATAAACTATAGGTGAGGTGAGAAATTCTCTTTAGTCACGAATTCCATTGATAATTGTGACAAGAAAACGTTCTGGAATACATGTACATGATTCGTCCCCATGGTTGTGATATGAGTGCGCATTTAGTTATATTCATTGCATTAATAATAATAATAATAATAATTGAATTGTTTGCAGGCAACCTGCCTACACTCAAGAGAGCACTGCATTTCACACAAATCCATTGGTATCGTTACGATACCAATGGATTTGTGTGAAATGCAGTGCTCTCTTGAGTGTAGGCAGGTTGCCTGCAAACAATTCAAGTATAATGAAGCTGCGTGAAGCGTCCTTCAAAATTTTGAAATAATAATAATAATAATAATAATAATAATAATGTGGAAGAGAAAAAGACATATGGATACGAGTTAAGAGTAACTCTCCATCACTGTAACATGATACTATATACAGTCAGAAAGTGCAATAACTAGGCACAAAACTGACAGAGTACTGAAACATTCGACGTCCTGACACCTAGCTTCAACACATCGTATCCATATGTCTTTTTCTCTTCCACATTTATTTATGGCTCAACATCCGAGTTTCAAATAATAATAATAATAATAGTTACAGTTCGCATGTCACTCATGGAAGGATCCATGGGCTTAACGCATGTGTCAACGAAATCCAGGCAGAAGAGCCAACAAAAGGCATCTCATTATTGTTAAAATGTATCGCAGTAAGAACAACTCTCGCTTGCATACGATAAGCCAAACTCGCCAAATCGCCAGTTGTATGGTATGCATTGCCATAGCAATCAGCGCATTGATGACGTGCGATCGGCTTAGCTCATCCAAAGAGTAGATCGATCACCGTAGGATTATGTCATTTTCAATTGTCTTTACCATGAAAAATACCGTTACGGTTGCATGCTACGTGTGTCTATTAAGCCTAGTTCACATTCGACGGGGCGCGACGGGACGCGACTTAAGGATCAACGGGAAGCGACTGGACGATCTGACAGCGTCCTATGTGAACACCAGGAACGGGAACGCAACCGTACTACCGTACAGAATTGGAGGCGACGGGAAGAGTTGGATCAATTCAACTTTTCATACCGTAGATGGGCGTAGACGGGGACGCAAGCGTACAAAACGGCTGCAATTCGAGTGTGAACAGGAGACGGCTTCGTGCGCCAACTACTCCCGATTCGTACTTTTTTAGCATTTCGAACACTGCACTTCCCATGATAACTCACAGAATGGCTAGCACGACTTGAGTAGAATTTTAGCAACATAAGATCTCATGTCACTTATTGTATTTAGGGATAGTTCAGAAGCTTGAGAGACGAACTATTCTGTCATTTCCTGGGGCTATTATTTGAATGCCACAACTTTCAGGGCTAATGTTTTGGTCTTCACGAAAAACTGGTATTGTGAACTTGATTCCGCTTCTTTCAAGGAGATATAATTGAAAAGAAGTCCCGAAAAACGAGAAATTAGGTCCGAAAGTCACCCCGTCACGGACCGTGCCTTATGACTCGCGCCGTTCGACGTTGAACGTCGCAACGACTGCTGCATGTCGTGTCGTACGAATTGTACAGGATTTTACAGCTCACCCAGCCCTCCCGACAAGCCCTTACGTCCCGTACCGTCGGCATTGCGTCGAATGTGAACTAAGCTTTAGTAATCCTCTCGATTGTTTGCTGGGACGTGACACCGACAGGAGAAAGCTTGAGTGTGGAGACATCAGCAGACAAGCAAAGTGACGAACCAAGTGCAGCAATCTTGGTTGCGACAAATCAGACGTTCAGCATTTACCCCAACCAAGGACCATGCATTCTACTTCCGGCATATGCGAATATGTGGGTTGCCATTGTGCGGCTGACATCGCCGCGGAAATGCATATAATAATAATAATTGTTAGGTACCTCCTCCTCTACCTTTTTTAACCGGCCTGCTTGCATCCGAACTGCGTCATACCCACCTTTCGTTCCGTTGGCATGGGTAGCTACTTGCACGCCCATGTTTGCCATAGCTACCCAGGCCCTTTATATTGCGTTGCTTTTCAGTCGAGCTCTCTCTCTTCAAAGCTCTCTCTCTCTCTTCAATAAGCTCTCTCTCTCTTCAATAATCTCACTCTTCAACGTAGTCGTTCGTTCGTCCTGGTCTTAGTCATCCCGTCTATAATAAATGTCGTTCCCAATAACTTGTTCCCGTTGTCCGTTGTAATGTCTGGAGAAGATATCGTCAGTCGTCCTTCTTCAGACCCAACATTGGCGCCCAACTTTTGCCGAAGCCCGAGACCCTGAGATCCTCGTTCTCTACCGCCCGGCATTCGTCTTGTGTTCAGCCTCGTCTCGTTATCGTATGCAACCTCGTCACGTCAATGTCAACCTCGTCTCGTCCAGGTCAACCTTGTCTCGTCATGCAGGTCAGCTACCTTTCTCTCTTTCTTTTTTGTATGCGTTTCTTCTTCGTCAAATTCATTTTCGGTTTATTTATTTCGTGAATGTTTTCTGTAGTGTGTGTGCGCGCGTGTGTTCTTCATAAAATATTAGTAAATTAGAGGTCCGATTATGGTGAGCCACGCTCTAATTTTGATGTTTAGCAGAAGTGCAACTACGCTCTTTTTAGCCATGCAAGCAGTGTCAGTAGATTCCTCGTCACGTCTAGTTTCTTATCTTTAGACTTATAGAAGTATAGGAACAATAACTGTTATGCATGATCCTAGTAAACACTTTTGGGAGATCCGTGCACGCATTCAGTGTGTGTGTGGGTGTGTGTGTGTGTTTTTGTTTTTCTTCCTCAGTCCTTTTTTATCTCTATTTTTCTCTCTTTTTTGTTTTTGTTTTGTGAGCGGATGTGTTTCCCGCGCCCGTGATTTTCAGGTTCGATCCCTGTGGGTTTTTTCAGGTTCAATCCCTGTGGTTTTTTCAGGTTCGATCCCTGTGGGGTTTTTTCCAGGTTCAATCCCTGTGGTTCCTAAGTCATTTTTTCATCTCTATTTTTCTCTTCGTCTTATTATTTTCCGCGAGGTCGCGGTTCTTTTTTGCTCAGGGGAGGTATGTTAGGCACCTCCTCCCGTACCTTTTCTAGCTGGCCTGCATGCACCCTGTTGTATTATGATGTAATGCATTACGTAGCCATGCAAGAGCATGCGCAAGATACGCATCTCGCAGCTGCCTACTTTCATGCAGGATCTTTTAGATGTCGGCGTTCTTATGATTTGCCTACAATGGCCAAGTGAGAATATAATCCTATTGTAAACAACTAACTTGTTTACCCCGAAACATGGTGTCAGAAGT